AAATGGTTAAAAAAAATTATATCTGTCTATTTATATAGATTGGCTGAGTGATTATAAGATGAGATTTTTGATTTTACCTGAAGTCGAGTTTCTTCATGGTCGATTTATCGATTTTCAAGAGGTGATCCCAGATTGCAGCACCTTTGGAAAGTGTCCGAAAAACCAAGAGTTGATCCAAGCCTTGTGAGTGAAATTGGATAGATAGGACTGTTCGGAATCCCTTACGTACTGGCGTTGTTCAAACTGCTGATCATGACATATTATGCGCTTCCTAACAAAAACTGTAACTAAATCCCGCTCAGCGTAATTTAAGTGTTGCGCGAACACATATGTGCCTGGGACAGGGATAGATTAGTCGCCCTAGCAGACGGGTGTGCTCGGAAAACGAGAGTAGCTGGTCATCTTATATATAAAGTACAGTGTGCTGTGTGTCTCTGCGTGTGTGCGTCCAAGCAACGCCTCCGATCCTACTGGTCCGATTTCAATGGTTCATAACTCCTTTAAAAGCCCTAGAAAAGTTAAACGCGGGGAACCTGTTGAGATCAAGTTCAGGGTTGCCAGATTATGCGAGGTTAAATATATATATTAAGATATTATACTATCAATCATTGTTGCTTTCATGTTTCAAGCGGAGTAACTCTTATTTTCCGTTTCTATCCAAAATTGCAGCTAGCTTAAAATTTTAAGCTACCTTAAAAGCCACCCTAATAGTTAAGGAGAAGTAGATGTGACAGGCATCAATAAACTACAGAACTCAAAATTGATCGCTGCATTTGAATATTGAATTAATGTTTAAGCTTTTAAATATAATTCTTCTGCTGCCACTTAATTTAAAGACAATTAGATTGATCCTTATTTTTCGTACAATTATTTTTATTTTATGGGTGATAGAACAGGGGACAATTTATAAGATAAAAATAAAATAGTGTAAATAAAAATTAGAATTAATTATACATTGAACATTTACAGAGTTGGAGAAACATAATAGCTAATTTAGTAAAACCTATATTATGGAATCTATATGAAAATCAAAATAGTTCTGTTTAAGAATATCATCTTATATAATGCAGAAAGGTGTTTGAAATTTGCATTTTAACTTGGCCTTCAACAAGTTGGCATCTATTTGTAAAACAAGCCAATTTATTAATGAAATGTTCATTTAAAATTTTTCTTTCAGATATTTCAAGTAGTGAATATATCTTACTTTGCGAAGTCATAAATATATAAGGAATTTTATTTTTAACCTGATATTATTTCCCATTGCTCCAGGGAATATTCGCATTTGTGTAGACACTATGTAATTTTGAAACAACGTAAATTACGTCTACCAGCCTGTGCATTCGAGAGACAGTTAATGACTAAATAAATCTATAGCCTAGCATTTTAAATCACGTCGGATAATTTCCAAATAAGGACAAACCGTCAAACCCTATTGGTGAGCATATTTTCTTTATGAACCCAGTTCAAAATCCGATACAGAACGATGTTTTTATAACTGCCTTTATAAGGTTTAAAGTCCGGGTTTGTACAGGTCTTCAGTCGTTTCTCTCAGTTTTACGATCAACTCTTATCATCAGACGCTGAACATTGATTCTGAAGACCCAAGTCAGCGGGCTATAAATGGAAGTAAGCCTAACAAAATGTTATGCAGCATGAACGAAATTTTAATATTAGCTTTCTTCTAGATGTGTCGAGAGAAATATAGCACGTTCAAATTTGACACGAGAAATAAAAGGCGCACAATGATCGTGGCAATGGGCGCCAACCTTAATGACTCGGACAGATTTTTGAATGTGACAAAATAAACAAGAGGAACGAGTGATTCTGTGTGCAGCCATCTCATAAATGGGATTTGCAATGACTTCCTGGTGAAAAATAGTGAAGTAGTTTCTCCATTATCTGTCTATATTTCTGAGATTAGGTATTATGTACACTATTTACATTATTCAGACTATTGTCCTCATATTTGTCGCCATATTTATTACAACGTTTCGGCCGTTCAGTATCTGTCTATATTTCTAAGATGAGGTATTATGTATACTATTTACATTATTCGGACTATTGTCCTCATCTTTGTTGCCATATTTATTACAACGTTTCGGCCGTTCAGTATCTGTCTATATTTCTGAGATGAGGTATTATGTATACTATTTACATTATTCGGACTATTGTCCTCATCTTTGTTGCCATATTTATTACAACGTTTCGGCCTTTTAGTATCTGTCTATATTTCTGAGATGAGGTATTATGTACATTATTTACATTATTCAGACTATTGTCCTCATCTTTGTCGCCATATTTATTACAACGTTTCGGCCGTTGTTCCCTCCGGCTCAATAGTTTATTTTCTCCATGTTAACGTTTTGAAATTTAAACTCCTTCTCTTTGACTTGCTATGACACAAGGCTAGAAGGAACAATCTACCTTGCTATTTAACCAAATTTAATCCGTTTATATTTAAAACTGGGTTGAATAGAACGCTTATAATTAGGATAATATTTTAATAAAAATGCCATGTCCGTTCCGTGTATCGCTATGGTATGTACCTAACTCCTCTTGCTATTCTCTTTTACAAGAGCCAGGTAAGTCCGGAAATGCAGTACAGCTGCTATATCTGGGAGCTATCGATTCTTCAGCTTCCAGTTCAAAAGCGTCTGTGTGGGTTTAATGGATTTATTTTCTATCCTACAACTGTTTTCCTACAGACGAAAAGTTGCAAGCGTTTCGCTACTCATCGCTATTTTCATGGACAATGTTCTGATGATACACATTCCTTAGTTCCACCAGTTGTAACCTTTCAAGCTAAGCCGCGTACACTGGATCGAACTCACCTCATTCTCACCTTAATCTATTAGTAACAAGGTAGCTCTTCTCGAAACAGCGCCCGAGAGAATGCTTTCCCAACCACTATAGTCTTTACGTTTTCCTGTCTAGGGTTAAGCATTATCTTTCTCACATGACTAGACTTCTAACAACTTACTCCTACCACTCATACACCAACCCCACTGCAGTAACCACTGAGCCATTTACATTGTGAAAATTAATAAAAGAAAAATATATCCTATCACGGCATATACGATTATATCTTTGCACGGTTTGTTTCTTTATTATCTCTGAATTGAGTTGACTTCTTGAGAAAGGTAAAGAAATAATTTGTTTTCTCTATGGTTCTGAAGCCAGAGTTTTCCATCTTTTAGATTGTCAGTCACGGAAGGCTAGAAGGAACAGTCTATTATGTTATTTAATCCGTAGGTTGGAAGAGAAAAGATGGTTTCAAGTCGTTTTCAAATGCATCAATGCGAGGTGCACTTAACAGAATTGGCCGGGCTTTTTTAATCGGCACTCTGGTTCCATTGACAACGTCGACAACTTGTTACGCCACAAGCGCATCAGCGCTATTACTTTACCCAGAGCTGCAGTTTTATTTTCCCTTAATGCGTGTACGTGTGTGAAGAGCGGTGGGTGCTGGAGGGCGGCGTAGCGGCTATCGATGCGGTGAACAGAGATCGGATTTTCGGTCGGGGTTCGTTTGTCTTCAGTATGCACAAATGCACTTGGTGCTCTTTAGCCAGGAAACGTCAAGGTCCAAAACATTAATGGATGCAGATAAAACCTGTAACAAATTTTGGCGTTCATCCGTTCTGATGAAGTCGCTGACGAAGCAACAGATAAATTGCGTCTGTGGATAAAATGAAGCAATACTAAATATTTTAAAATATTCTTTAGCTTTTCATGTAATAATAATAATAATAATAATAATAATAATAATAATAATAGACTCTCTCATCGTTTTCGACGTATGAGTGTCTTTCAGTTATGTTTGTTGTTTTTATGTCTCGTATCAGACAACAATCCTGAACGCAAAACTGAACTGTAGACGACACACGCAGAAGATTTGTTTAGAGTGGTAGAGGCTTCTGTAAAACCAGCCACACAAGGTTATAGAACCCAGTCTGCTCTGCTATTTTACCATAGATGAGGGGTGGCGGGAAGAGGATTCATACCTTTCCCAAGGGATATAGTATGATAGTAGGATAAGTGAATGTAATGGATTCGACTGCAATTCGAACTCGGCTCTCCAATTCCTCAATCCGAGGCGGTATCCATTATTACAGCATACATAATTTCTTTTCACACACACACACACACACACACACAGAAACACACACACACACATACATGTGTGCGCGCATTATATATATATATATATATATATATATATATATATATATATATATATATATATATATATATATATATATATATATATATATGAAGAAATATAGTTTTAAGATGTGCAATATTTATGATATCAGAGATAGATTTTGTGTAAATATAAAAGTGAACATAGAAGTCAACACTTAGAGGCGACAGTCTGTTTCATGCTAGATGCAATCGTCAGGCCACCATAGATTGCGTCTAGCCTGAAACAGATTCTAGCCCTAAGTGTTGACTTACATTCATTTTTTTATATATATATATATATATAGATATATATATATATATATATATATATATATATATATATATATATATATATATATATATATATATATATATATATATATATATATATATATATATATATATTAAAATAATAGGAAAGAACAATGAGATTTATAATTCAGAGTTCTTAGTTTTTATTTTTAAAAAACAGTGTTCGATTCAACTGTAGAGCATAATATTATATATATATATATATATATATATATATATGTGTGTGTGTGTGTGAGTGAGTATGTGTGTGTGTGTGTGTGAGAGAGAGTGTGTGAGTGTATGTGTCGGTGTACATTTGAGATATAACTAAAAGTATATCTGTAAAAAGACTATCTGAATAAACATGCATTATTTAAAATTTAAAGAACATTCATTTTTAAAAAAAAATAGATTCTCAAACGAAAATAAAAATAAATAATAATTACCTTATAAAAAATTCAACAACAATAACATTTACTCACATTGGTTTATTAAAGATTAAATAGATACTTAGCAGACAATGGGCATATCACTTTCAAACACCAGTTCCTGTACGATCACCGAAGTTAAGCAACGTCGAGCCTGATCAGTACCTTGATGAGTGACAGCTTGGGTATACCAGTTGTTGAATACTTGGATTTGTGGTTGGGGCTTACAGATCGGAATTGTTAATAGGAGAGGCGATTTCCAATTCCAGCTGGGTTCGTTATATTCACTTATAACCTTCGGAAAGATATAAATACACCTATTCTCCACCCAGCTATGGGTTAATCAGTAAAACTTGTGTCAGTAAACCATCACAAACCATAATTATATCTAAAAAAATAAAATAAAAGCATGTGGACAATAGAAAGGTTTCGGCCTTAAATAACCCAACAAAGTTGATATGCCGCAAAGCAACCAACATTTGCCTTGATAAAGTCTATCAGAGGGCGAAACTCATTGCCTAAGATAAATTTTCTTTTCCTTTCACACACACACACACACACACACACACACATATATATATATATATATATATATATATATATATATATATATATATATATAAGAGGAAAACATACCTTAGACAATCTGCAGGCATTAAATGCTTCTGAGCTCTGTCACACCACATTGAATACATTTTGTTTACACCTTAAATTAAATGTAGTAAATATTTATTCGCTTACCTGTGAATGTACGCCAACGCACGTATATACTGTTGCTAATTTGATTAGCATTAATACACACACACACACATATATATATATATATATGTGTGTGTGTGTGTGTGTGTGTGTGTGTGTGTGTGTGTGTGTTTAAAAAGTGGTTTGTACCCACAGAAATAAAACATAGATTTAAACAAAACGGATATCATGCTATACCTTAGGTACCTTTCGACCAACACTTTTTCAAAGGTATACGTTGGCAAGTTGGAAAACGAGTTTTGGAGGCTGTATTTATAAAATTTCATCAGCCCATCCTGTTCAGACAGAAGGAGCATTCTGTACGTTCCTTATGCTTGTTGGAGGGACTGTGAATGTCTTTTTTCCTTTTTATACTCTTGTGGAACTTGCTATTTTCACCCCCCTTTGAATTTTAATTATTTGTAATTAAAATTTATCTCTTTTTTAATCGCGTTCCAACTCCCCCGCCCCTCATTCGTTATATTGAGTGTGTCTTTGATTGTAATTTTAAAAATTTAAGACAGTTAACCTTATCCTCAAAAATAACAACACACCAGCTAAGCCAAAATTACAAAGAACGAACATTATCTATGAGTTCAAATGCCCCTTAAGGAACTGTGTTCCTGATCGAACAGGACTCATAAATAATTACATCGGTTACACAACCATATGTTTATCCAGATGCCTTATGTTACACCTATCTGATCACAGCTCCATTAGAACCCATTTAAACACAAACACAAATTTACCAGACTCTATTAGAAACATACTAGTAGAAAACACAAATATATTAACTGCATCCACCTGTAGAAAAGATTTAAAATAATGGAAGCTTTAATAATAAAAAAGAAAAAAAAACAACTCTTAACAATATTAACTACGAACAAGGTCACAATGTGCTAACCGTATTCGGAAATTAAAACATCCCTACTACATAGTAAGACATACACATAATGAACACACTCAATTAAGCTAAAAAATCGAATCATCCTTGATAATGGCTTAAGGTATAGCCGAAAGCGCTCGGAAATATAAAACATTTGGACAGTTTTTACACACTCTTTGTCCAGAAAAGAAAGCTCTTGTTTGAACACATGAAAAATTAAATAAAAATCTTAACCGTAATCTGTCGTTTTTAATGAAAACATGCACACACACACACACACACACACACACACACACACACACACACACACACACACACACACATATATATATATATATATATATATATATATATAGTCATATACAGACAGACTATTTCGTTGTTTCACAGCTCATCAGTGTGGCTATACATCCGGTAGCTTCAAACCGGGACCGAATTTCCTTTTATATGTTTGGCTAAAGTGTGGATGCGAGCTGATCTGCGCTAGTATTAGGAGTGGCTTCGTAATAGGCAAAAGCAATATGTGTACACGCGTCTCCCAGTATAACTTACATATGTGCTGGTGTCTTCCTTTCATTTCGACATATGAGGGCCTAATAGTTTTTTTTTTTTTTTTTTAGAACTGAACTGCTGGACTACCCACACATGTGATTACAATTATGAAGACTTGTGTTGAACCATCCTAACTTTTGGGGAGAAATGATAATAGATAAATGACCTTGATAACGTCTGTCAGGAGACGAAACGCGTGGATAAAGAAATGTTTTCCTTTTGTTTTTTGTTTTTTGTTTTATATTATCGTTAAAGATATATTTTATTTATATCTAACGTATCCAGAAAATTGTTTGAAAATAATTGTTCGAGGACAATTATTCTAAAAACAATTATTCTTAAAAAAAATATTCGAATTGTAAATTGTTTGAATGAAAATTATTCGAAAGGACACTTATACTAAATGATAATTATTCGAAATGTCTATGTTTGAAATACGTATGTAGTCTTACTTTGAGAGAGTCAATGGTGATTTACCTAGAAGTAATAACGCCTTTGAAGGATGGCATAGGGCTTTTTTACAACACGGGTCATCACATCATCCGATAATATGGAAATTCTTAGGCGCTCTTAAAAGAGAACAGGACCTGTAAGAAATTCATATTGCAAAATTAAGAACAGGTTGCCAAAATATCAAGAATGCCAAGAAATACTATGACCTAAATTGAAAACGTCAAAAAAAAATAGTGGCATCCCTTAACAAATACTCTTTAGTCGTTGACTATTTGCGTAACTTAAATTTATCAGGATTTTTTTACTAACTTATTTTATTAACGATATTTGTATTTCAAATAATTATCATTTGTTTATTTCCTCTTTGAATTTTTACATTTTTATTGCAATGAATAATTTGACATTTCGAATAATTATCATTTAGTCTAATCGTTTTTACGATTAATTTTCATTCAAACAATTTACAATTCAAATAAATGTTTTTCGAATAATTGCTTTCGAACTGTTATTTTCGAACAATTTTCAAATAATCTTATAAATTTTTACACAAATATGCAGGGTGCGATGGATAAATTTTCGTCTAAATTACGCAAAAATGAAAATAACACTGATATTTCATTTTAACAGATATATTTAGCAAAATTACATCAAAATATCGTAAAACAATAAAGAGTGCATTTATACAATAAAATGGTCATTAGCTCTAAGCACGGCCTCCAGACGACTTCGGAGTCTCCAAGTAACTTTTCTGGACGGTCTCCTTCTTTACAGTGATGAATGCTGCAATAATCGTTGCCTTCAGTTCATCTTTGCTGTTAAAAGGAGTTTTGTTGGTCTCTTGCTCCCTTGCTCCCCGCCCATAATAATCAAGGGAGTTGCAGTCTGGGGAGTTAGGTGGCCAGATGTAAAGGGTAATGTGGTCGCTGATATTGTCTGACAGTCATGACTGGATTCTCTTTCTTGTGTAATATGGTGCAGAGTCCTGTTGCTGGACATAGGGTCTTCTAGCAAGTACCTCTTGATTCAGAGCATTACTATCTCCTCAAGGCACTTGATGTAGGCCTCCGTGTTGAGTCTGAGGCCCTGTGAGAAGATGGATGGAGGCATAACGTCGCCATCAGTAGTGATCACTCTAAACACCATGATGTTGGCTGGATATATCATCCAACTCTTTCCGAATCCTCTGCATTGTCCTCAGATTGAAACCCAAACACTCTAAGCAGTATAGTATGCCGTTACAAAATTTCTGGCGGAGTGAATTGCGTCATCGTGCTCTTTTTCTCAATGACGGTGCACAAATTAAAAAAAAAAAAACAAACACGCATGCGCGAAATTAAAAATATGAAATGACGACAATTTACCTATGGCAACCTATATATATATATATATATATATATATATATATATATATATATATATATATGTGTGTGTGTGTATCCAAGTGTAAGGTAGGTTAATAGCAATGCCCACTTCAAACATATATTTTAAATTGCTCAATATATAGTAGAACTTAATATATAATAATAATATTTATTAACAATTATAACAAAAAGCATTATATAAACGTTAGAAATGATTTTGTTATAATTGTTAATTAATATTATATATATATATATATATATATATATATATATATATATATATATATATATATGTTATGAACAATAAAAATATAAAAAAACTAAAATCTTCAGACACACAGGATTGTATATTAATATTGGTCGTTTTTATTATTTCAGTTAGATTCCCAGACTAGTTTCGACCAGCATAGTTATCATCAGGAGAAAAAAGAAATCTGCTTGTTAGTAACAGTGAACTACAGGAATGAATGTTTTGATGGAGAAAATGAACTTTATATGTACTTTTCATTTGTTTTATTTATCATGAATTTTGGTCAGTCGTTGTGTTGATCAAACAGTCTCTTTTAAGTTGTTATTTAAGATAAGAGCTGGATGGATTCATGCTGCTCTGAATTCCCTTGGTCAGTTTGACAGTTTTATTGGTTCCTGAAAAGAAGATGTGTCTCTGTTAAGTGTGTATTATTTGATTCGTAGGGAATGAGTGGCTATGATGTGCGTAAGTGTGTATATTTATGGGTATATATATATATATATATATATATATATACTCTTTATCTTCTATGTCTCCTATCCATCCCTTAGGAAGGTGTATCAATTTTGCTATATCTCCTAATCCTCGTTCTGCTTATATATTCTCATTAGTTTAGGTGTTGTTTTTCCCTCTTGTCTTGAATATCTCTTGTGAGTGTTAAATTTTCTAAGCAATCTTTATATGTTCTAGAAATTTAAAACTATCTCTTTCTGATGATATAATTGTCAGATTTGTTTCCACTATCTGTAAAACATCTTCGTGCTCACGTATCCCTCTCTATAACAACATTTCTATTGCCTCATGCCTCTTCTCCAGCATAGGAGGAACAATATAACGTAACAGTTCAGTACTCTTTTTTTTCTTTTCTTTTTTTGTTCATAATGAAATGTTATCCTTTGCTTTACTTTGGCATTTTTAGATATCCCAATGTGCTTTCGGATTCCAAAGTCACATTTTCCGCT